ACCGCGGGCAGCCAGCCGTAGCCCCGCCCACCGCCGGGAGCCGGATGTTAGCCAGCGCCTTCGGGAGACCCGTCACTGCCTGGCGGCGAGGACCCGCCCACCGCGGGCAGCCCGGGAGTGACGTCGCCCTGCCTGCGGTAGCTCCGCCCACCGCCAGAAGCCGGATGTTGGCCCGCCTTTTCGGCAGACCCGTCCCTGCGAGGGGATTTGGACAGGGCGATGGGTTCAGTCAGTGGCAGAGGAGTTCTGCCCGCCCTGCTCATGGTTTCATAGATGTTAGGGGCTGGAAGGGACCTTACAGATCATCAGGTCCAGCCCCCCTGCACGTGGGTAGGAAAGACAGCAAGGTGGGCATCAAGACACTTCGTGCCCATTGTATCTTGTCCTCCCCTGGGGGGCTTGGTGAATAGATGCTCCCCCAGGCCCTGATGTGCACCCCTCATAGACTGATAGTCCCCTCTGTGTCTGGGGACACGGCTCCCCCTGCTCCCGGGAAGGAGCCATCATGCCGGAGGGCTTCTTGTGCAGGATTTTTGCTTCCCGGCTTGACAAGGCTTGAGACTTTATTTTGCAGAGGAAAAGCATCGCCCCCTGGTTGTTGAAGGAGCCACCCTGTGCCAGGCCCTTCCCCAGGGCAGGGGTGGCCATCTCTGTATCGCCTTGGAGTCGTGGGGCTCACATATTGCTGCCGCATCTGGACCTAGCCGGCACTGGACGAAAAGGGAAATTGTGAATAAAACAGATGTTTTTCCTCTGCAAAATAAAGTCTCAAGACCTGGGGGGAGCAAACATCCCGCATTCGGTGCTGGCAAGCAAAGCTGAGCATGTGTGTGCTTGTGCCCTCCTCCCCTGCGTCCTCCCAGCCCTACTGAGCAGCATGCCCTTTCTGCCCTTACCCCAGCTGCTGGTCCAGCTCTGTGCTGGGGGTCCCTGGTCATGCTTCATCAGGCCTTGCCGGACTTCCTGGTGCCCCTGCTGATGCCCAGCCTAACGGCAGCAGACAACGGCTCCACGACCTTCTTCCCTGTCTGATCTTCCCCCACCCATAGCCCCACGTGCACAGCCCATGTCCCCATCTGCTCTGCCAGCCGAGCCCCTTTGCCAGCTGGCATCTGATGCCTAAGGTGCACATTGCCCTGGAGACTGGTCTGCTGCACTAGGACCCCCAACTCCAGCTCTCTGTGAGCTTGTGGTCCTACTGCTCTAGGGTCAGCATGGCTGACTCTAGGTCTCTAGGGGGAGGTTAAGGCAGTTCTAATCCTCAAAGCCCTACATGGCTGAGGAGTCCGGATCTGCCTGCTAAATGGTCTATGGCTGTCCACAATCCCAGATGCACTCGAGCTGAATCCTCCTTGATATAGCTGAGGGGGAGTGCTCAGCAGCCTGATATCCATAAAGTGAAAAATTTACTGTTCACCTTGGTACGAAGAGGCCTAAGTCAGCTGAGCTGGATTGTCATGGCTCCTCTGTTTCCTTCTGGGAAGGGAGGAAGAGGCTCTGCAAATGCTGGTTTTCATGAGCTGGGAGGGATATGGAGTAGATTCAACTTTCACTTTAGGGGCAACACCATTTCTGTTGTGGGGAGAAGAGAAGGCAACGAGGAAGTTTCATTGGTGTGTAACTAGATGAAACATGTTTCAAGCCACCTTTCTCATCCTCACCCTGCTCTGAAGATGGTCTCAGAGACCCAGAGACTGTAAGTGAGCCCCAAGGAGTAGGAGAAGCAGAGGTATCTAGGGGTCGGACACCAGACCAGCTGCAAAACAGAGAATACCACTAGGTCTCACTCCTGAGGCAGTGCCTAATCTGCCAGACCCATGTGTCCTAAGGGGAGTGTTTCCACGGGCTGCAAAGAAGATCAAAGATACAAATAATTTCAAGCCACTCCATGGCCTAGGCCCAGAGCACCTAATATAGTACCTCAAACTCCACGATGAAGATGATGGTTGACAATGTCCCTCTTGGAATTTGGGTAAAACGCATGTTTACAAGAGACAGAATTTTCTTAGGGGCTGATCCTAGTGTGTCAAATAAAATCCCTTGGAAAAGGTCACAAACATTACTACCTGCTTCTCACTACGTTGCAAATCAAAGCCCATTACTTGACCTCTTTCCCATTTGAGTGAGTGGTTGTTAGTCCCAAGGTTTCTCCCTAAGGAAAAGAAAACCAGCAATGCAATCAAGTGCCAGCAGAAATACTCCCTCGTATTTCCAGGTCCCCTTGAGTCTGGGGGACAAGACCCACCCACAGTCCAAAGAGCAGCTGTGTGTTTCCCAACTTTATGCCAACAAGTTGTGTTGACAACAAGTGCAACTGTGCGTGTAAGTGTGTTTTAAAGGATTCATGTTGTGCTCCCAGTCAGACTAGGGTAAATATGGAGTGACGTGATTGACTTCCCCAGCAATCCTCTGGAGTTACAACCATGTGCAGTGTCAAATCAGTGAAAAGGATATAGCAAGCCAAGGCATTACATTTCTGTTGTTCTCAGCTGCCAGAATGGGCCATTGGGGATCTCTAGGTAGAAGTTAGATCAATTCTAGGGCTGTTCTAGCATATGCCTGGTGATAAAATGATCCCCCGTTGTCTCAAAATTAGGAAATCGCAAAGGTGATACAAAGCCATCATTTCTTCCTCCTTTTTAGGTTTGGCAAAGCTAGAACCAAATATCAGGAGCCTAATCTCTAAGTATAAGGGAAAGGATACAGCTTTTTAACACTGTTATTTTGCCTCTAAGAGCATCTCTCAACATGAATCATGGCTTCTTTTGTGATTTCACACCTGGAAACAGACCAGGGGGGTGGAAGGATTCATTGTCTTTTGGGGTAGAAAAGGATAGTATCAATCAAGAAAGAAATGTTAAGTCTCTTATATATGTCAGGTTGAGATAAAACATTCATGAATAGGGGTGAGGAGTGCTTTTAATACTATGAAGCCATTATCTGCATACCACAGAGGCCAGTGATGTGTAACAGCCACTAATTAGTTGCTCACAAGGGGAGAGGAACAGCGGGCATAAACTCAGTGATAAAACATTCTCTGTCCCAACTTGAAGTTGATGGTGCTTCACGTGTGATACTCCACTGTGGTGGTGCTAGGGAAAGGGCTGAAGTGGAGGGGATTACTAATTTGTCTACATAGCCTGCTCACCTTCTCAGCATAGCCACTTCACCTTCAAGGCAATGGCAGGGTGGTTGGGCATTGATCCTGAGTCCTTTGAAACCAGGCTGATGTCACTGGAAACAGAACTAAGTCTTTAGGAATGAAACGAATCCGCTGGGCTGGGTAATTTGGACTAGAACAAGTGGTTACGTTCTTTCCATCATTGACAGAAAAGGATTTTATGTGGCAGCATTCTGGCAGTCCCCCGGCTTTTTCCATCTTCCCTCTGCAGCCTGTACCAACACTGCTTTTAAAAATAATTTATTCCTGGGCATAAATCATGAGTTTATTTGGAACCACCTGTTATTCAGAGTAATTCCCCTCTTTAGAACACCATTTGGACTTCAGGTTGTCCATAGCTGTATGATGCAAATGGGGAGATCAAACTGTTCACCAGAAATGCAACATGGGCATTTTAATGGAACCCAGTCAGGAGTATTTGCTTGTCAGGTACAGAGCAGGTGAGAGCTGTTTTCTTCCCTGTACTCCTGACTGTGGCTCTGAGGTACTCCCATATGGAAGCAAACTTCTCATGCTGGTAATGAGATCACCTTTGCTTTTGCACTCAGTAGCACCGCATCTGAGCTGCTTCTCCAGACTGGCATACTGCTGCTGGCTTTCTGTCCCGTGGAAGGACACAAGATAGGAGGAGGGAGCAGCTTCTATTAGGTAGACCATGGTAGTAAGAATTAGGAATTTTGGGTTCAGTTCTCAAATCCACCCATGACTTGCCAAGGGAGCTCAGGTGAAAAAAGAAGTAGCGGCTGATTTTAATTGCATCACATTCTAGATGGCTCAAATTATACCAAAAATTCAGACTATCTGTGAAGCCCTGGATCTCCCAGTTTCCTCAGCTACAGTAGTGAATACTCAGCAGTTCTGAAAAGTGAAGCGTGTAAACCTGTGCACCCAAAATAGACACACCTTTAAATCAGCGGTTATTTTTGGAAATGCTGGCCTTCATCTCTTGGTGGATCAGTAGCCCATCCCTAGTAAACCACATCCCTGATACAAAGCAGTGGTTGCAAGACTTGATTTACTAATGTGTGTCCTCCTGGTCTATGGATAGATGGTGTTGTCCCTGACCCCTGTGCAGGGACGATACGTGAACTCAAGAACAGCTTTGTTTTCTTGGTGCTCGGATACTGCAGTGGCGGCTGAAGTAGAAATGCAGATAGCCACAGCTGTGCATAGATTCTTCACAAGGAGGAAAATGGGTTCAATTCTCTACATGTGTAAACTGGCCCAGGTTCAATTTGCTTTAGCAGAACATTGAACTCAAAGTTTATGCATTATTACTTTGTACGTTGGCTGCCCAAATCTAATTAATGTCTACATATAATGCCCAAAACTCCCTCAGTAAAACTGTTCATGATAACCAATTGTGTTACTGCCAGGCATGTATTTCACAGAGGAAAGTAACAACTAGGTCTGATGTAACTGGGACCCTGGGATTAGTAGGTGTCCTCCTCACCCAAAGCTTTATAAGAGGCAGTGAAAAGCCAATTTTATGCTTGCAGTAATTTTGTGGCCTGCAGCTTCTCTTGCTTTTCCAAATGACTTTTATCAAGTCCCCTTTCCATCAGAAGTACTCTGATGCCATCTTGTGACTCTTTCTTATATGTACAAGGATAACCGAAAGCAGTGGTTCTCAACTGGGCCAGTACCCAGTTGGGGTGTAGTGGTGCAGTCACACCATCCTTTGATTCCTGCTCTACCCACCATTTTAAAACAAGCACCTTGCAGTTGAAGCAGCCTTTCTATTCAGGCAGCAGTGAGGGAGTCACTTGGCTTCATGACTAGTTGTAACCTGCTTGATTCTTTCTAAACTCTTTATCCCACAGGTGTTAATGTCCCTCTCTCTTCTGTGAATGGTCTTGATGCTCCACTAATCGAGCAGTTCTTTCTTCTGCAATTCTGCTATTTAGCTGCTCTGCTTAATGTAACTCATATTTCACAGCCCCGCAGGGTGTTTTTAACTGTAGCTAAAAACATCAACTCAGATGTGGAAGCATTAACTCAGGTGAATATCAGTTCAGGTGTGGGAGTAACTTTCAGTGAAGCACTGGATGCATGGTCAAGATACTCAAGAAGGCTTGATTTTGTTTAATGAATCTGAAAGAGATGTGCATTTAATTCTAATGACAACAAAAAGACTAAAGAAAAAGCATCTTTTGATTATTTTTGTTGTGTTTTTTCATACATAATCTAGACTATAGCAAATTAATGCACAGTTCAATAAAATTATATTTGTTTTTGCTTTGATCTTAAACTGAATAATACAGCCCTAGGCCCCTTACATATTAATACAGTTTCTAGTTTATTTTTACCCACAGAAAAATGTGTAGTGTTGTGATGCACTTGCACTCCCTTTTCAAAATCCTAGATCTGCATGTTCTCACCCTTTTCAGATGCAAGGGCCCCCAAGTCATCAAGGCACCCCTCAGAAAATGTCAGCTCTTAGCTTTAACTAATTTTTTGAATATGGAAAAATAATCAAGCTATTCTTCTGTTGCAAAGACCTCAAAAAGCAACAACAGGTCAGGATGTTGTTGATGCTATGGATTCCTGCTTGAAATCTCTGGGTTTATCTTTTGAATCATGTGTCGGCATTTACATACCTAAGTACCTAACCTTAAGGTATAGAGAAGGCCAACTAAAATGATCAGGGGCTTGGAGCAGTTACCATACCAAGAAAGACTTAAAAGTCTAGGACTCTTCAGTTTGGAAAGAGAAGGCTGAGGGTGGGATATGACAGAGGTCCATAAAATCATGAAGGGTATTGACCAAATGAACATGGAACTGTTGTTCATCAAGCCCCAGAATACTAAAACTAGGGGGCACCCACTGAAATTACTAGGTGACAAGTTTAAATTCAACTTTAAACCTGTCAAAGGTAAGAAAAAGTACCTTTTTTTAGACAACGTGCTGTTAACTCATGGAATTTATTGCCACAGGAGGTGGAAGAAGCAGATTGCATAGCCAGGTTCAAAAAGGCACTGAATACATTCATGGGTGATAGATCTGTTAATGGCTATTGAACAGAATGGTTGCCGATGTTTACTTTGGCATTGCTAACCCAATAAATGGTGGATGCCAGTGAATAGGGGATAGATCACTCTAGAGATAACTGCCTGGGTTAATACTCCCCCTGTATAGCATCCACCTCTGTCAGAGTCAGGATACTGGGCTAGATGGACCGTTCATTGGTCTGACCTAGTATGGCATTAAGTTGCATCCCAGCTGAGTCATGGATAGGAGCTATTTATTCTTTCTGACACCCACTAAAGGTGGACTCTTTCAGCATTTTTCCTTAAAAATACACAGCTGTGGTCTTAGTCCAAATTCCACCTTATTGGGTAAAGAAAATCCTTCCCTGATCAGCTTATTAGCTACTGTAAGCTCCTTTTGCTGCCTCTCAAAGGCACAGATGTTTCTATACCATACATGTTTTTGCTGCCCATTGATATTCAGTGGGTCTCGAGTGCCAGGACAACCCTTCTCACTCACACCCAACACCCTCAATGTGGGTTAGTTTATGTGGGTCAATTATAGGTTTAGTTTAGGGCCTGATTTTGCTACTATGGAAGCCATAAGCCCAACTTGCCTTGATTTCTTTGGAGCAGAAACGAGCTCATGAATGCTAAGATCTTTGAAGCAAGGATGCCGTTGCACTTGATGCTGTAAAGCAGCTCCATGGACATGGAGCATTTCTCAGTGTTCAGCCTGAGTAGAGGGCAGGTCACAGAGATCTTCTAGGGCAGAGAGGAAAAGACCCTTTCAATGCAAGCCATAGAGTGAGAGCTGAACTTTATTCTAATGG